CAATGCATGTGAGGTAATGTGTATGCTAATTAGTTTGGCTTAGCATTCATTTCATAATGAATACATATTTTAAAACATTGTGTTGTGCACTAAAAAATACACATTTTATTTGTCGATTTAAATTTTTGAGATTTAAAAAACCTACTGCTCTTTCTCAGAGCTTTATGAGGTAGGTGCTGTTTATTGTGGTCCTGATTTACAAATAAGGGACACAGGACCAGGGCCTTAAACTACCTTGCTCAAGGACATACGTAGACATGGGCTTTGGACCCAAATGCACCATCCTGGAGCTTTAACTCCTATATGCATCCTACCTATGCTGAATCTCACTGATGCAGATCCCTCCCTTACCTCATGGAAGAAGCATTTGGACGTTACTTTTAAGACTCCTTCCTATTTCCAGTTCTCACCATTTCCAGAGCCCCTTGTGAAGTGTTGTATTTGGGTTCAGTGTCCCCATGATTCTGTTCCCAGAGAGCAGCTCTGTTCCCACAACCTTATTCTACACACTGTCTGTTACCTAACAATGCAGTGTAACAAACATCCCCAAGCCCTGTGACTTTAAACAAGAAGCACAGATTTCACTCATCAGTCTGCAGGCCAGTTGAAGGTTCTGGGCTTGGCTGGGCTTGGCCGCCTGTCTAGATTTAAGTGGCTCCTAGCCGACCTGTGTTGACTGGGACATACTGGGATGCTTGGTTCCGAACCATGTCTCTTAACCTTTCAGCAGGTTAGCCTAGACAATGGCAGAAGGGCAGAAACTGAGCTCATCGTGCCTACACTCAGGAAACTTCTGTGTGGGTTCACCTTTGCTAGCATTTCACTGGCCGAAGCAAGTCATGCATCATATAGTAGGATCCAAGTCCAACTGGGAGAATGCTATGGTTCTACGGTTCAAGGAATGAACACGGAGAGGGGTAAGAAGTTGGGCCATGGATACACAGAACCCATAACTTTTCATCCTTCTTAACAAAAGGCATGACAGAGAGAGACAGAGACAGACAGAGAGACAGGAGAGACAGAAGAGAGAGAGAGGAGGAGGAGAGAGGAGAATGCATCTGTTTGTACAGGCTGTATGGAGCTCAGAGGATGAGCTCAAGCGTCATTCCTCCTCAAGTACCATCTACCTTGTTTTTTGAAGCAGGGTCTCTCACTGACTGCATGATTAGCTAGGCTGGCTGGATGTCACTCTCTCCCCAGCACTAGAATTACATGCACATGCCACCATATCCAGCTTGTTACACCGGTGGTGTTGGGGATTGAACTGAGAGCCTCACACTGGTATGACAAGCCCTTTACAGTCACAGTTCTCATGCCTGCCTCAGAACAAAATTAAATTTCAAGTAAAAGGGCCATTTAGATCAAACACCCCAAGGGCCCACAGACTACAGTTGAGCTCTGAAGGGCCCTGAAGAAGGGGGCACAGTAGGGAAAATGTGCACGAGTGGGTCCTTTAGAGAAAGAAAACAGGTCTCCCTTTGCACCTGCAGGAAACAGAGTGCAGCACTCAGCCAGCGAGGTCCCCGTTCTGGAGGCAAGGCAGCAGACAGTGCCCGCCGCTGTGCCAGTGTCTGAGCAGTGAAGTTAGCGTAGAAGGCACATCAGAAGAGTGGTAGCTACTCCAACTCAGTTAGTGATGTCTCAGCATATCAATGTCTCGTTTTGTTTCTCCTGTAGAAAGCTCAAATATTAGATTGCCTGATTCAACGTCGGCCCCCAGGCAACCCCAGCACTTCCAGGAGGGCATGAGTATCTATTTTCTTTCTGTTCCTGGAAAGCAGCAACTGTCATTTTCTGGGCTTACACACCCTGCACATGGGCTGATTATAATCCTCTCCCTGAGAAATGGGGGAACCCTAGGAAGCCTGCCAAAACCACTCTCCAAATATCCAAATCCATGGCTGTTGCTTCTGGTGGGAGATACCAGAAATGGCCACCCTCCTGAAGAAGGAAAGGCCAGGACCTGTGGGTAAATATTGACTGGTGTAAACATTTTATTTTAAATCAAAAAAGCCTCAGTAGCTGGAAAAACTTACCCTAAACAAAAACTAAACACATAAAGTGAGCCAACGAGCGCTCTGCTTTCTGTCACAGGGATGCCAAGACAGTCTCAGTGACATCATGGCCTTCACTTGGGGCGCTGATAGGGGGAAACAGGCTGCTTGATGGTGACTGGAGGCAAGGGAATCTTGGCTTCCTTCCCAGAGTGCTTTGGCTGGGAGAAATCTGCAGAATCCTCTAAGTCTTTATCATGGACTGGCTCTTTATTCGTTGTCTCAATCAACCCTGAAAGAATCCCAAGGAGGGACAAGGGAGATGATGTGGTTGGTCAAGTGCTTGCCTTGCCAGCATGAGGACCCAGGTTCAGTCCCCAGCACCCAGGTAAAAATGCTAGGCTGGAGGCATGCACTTGTGATCTCAGGTGTGAGAGGGTGAAAACAGTTGGATCCCTGGGTCTAGCTAGGCAGCCAGCCTTGTCTACTTGACAAGTTCCAGACCAGTGAGAGACCCCTGTCTCAAACAACAAAACAAAACAAAACAAACAAAAAACAAGTAGACAGCACCTAGATGTTGACCTCTGGCCAGCACACACACACACACACACGCACGCACGCACGCACGCACGCACGCACGCACGCACGCATAAGAGGAGGGGGGAATCCTAGGTAGAGCTGTGTGCATCTCCATTTTGCAAATCATGGAAATGAGGCAACACACTTTAATGATGGAAACTGCCCAAGCCACTCAGCTATGTATCTGACTGCAGCACTGGTCCTCCCAAACGCGGCTCTGAGAAGCCACCATGCACGGGTGCCCTCCCTTCAGAAAACACCAAGCTAGGCTGCCTTCAACATCCGTGTTCTCTAGGGATACAATTTCCAAGGGGACTGGCCAGCAGGGGGTTGAAGAGAATTTGTGTCTGGAGTTGCTGAAACTGAATTGCCTGGGGCTCCCAGGGAAAGGAATGGACCTGGGTTATTTTCTTATCACATCTTCTTCAGCATCCTTCTCTGTTGATTGTCCACTGCAAATATTTCGTGTGTTCAGAGTGAAAGGCCCCTAGGGACACATATATGGGTGTGCTTGCACTTATGTTCAGGTACATATAAAAGTCGGAGATTGACATTAAATGTGTTCCTTGATTTTTCTCCACCTTATTTTTTGAGACAACCTCCCCTTGAACCCGGAGCTCACTGATTGGCTAGTCTGGTGGGTCAGCAAGCTACAGGGACCTCTGGCCACCATCTCCTTCCAATGATGGCATTGCAGGTGCACACTGCCGTGCCTGGCTTTGTACACAGGTAGCGGGGATCCGAACTTAGGTCCTTAAGCTTGTGTAGGAAGCACTTTTTTCATCTCCCCAGATCTTCACCCTAGCTCTTACTGTGGGGGCATCACCTGGAGAATAAACCCCAGTTTGTAGCAGGGGAGTATCTGGTTCCAAATGTTTTGGGAAACTGAGATTCTTTTAAGGGAGATACCACTTTCCATCCTTTTTGTTGGGACATGAACATCTTAACATTTCATTTGACTTTTCTGTTTAATAATGATCCAAATTTTGATCCACTACATCCCAAAATTGCATTAATGACTCAATTTAATACATAATATATATGATAATATATGTAAGCACGAAAGTCTTATAACTTCAGAAAACATAAAACTTTGAAGTTCCCATCTATAAACAGTATTTGTGTAGCTGTGATGGCAAGATGATCATAGTGGTTTTCTTTGGCTTCCTTCATTCTCTTGGACAAAAGTTTAGCACATCTGCAGCCTCCTCCCTGTTTCTATTAGTGTGTTGTTTCTTTAGAGCAATTCATCTGCGTTTGTGTTGCAGGACACATGGAGCAACAAGATGCTGAATGCTGTGTGTTTGTGCCTAGGCTTCTGACCTCCTTGTTTAAACGACTGTCTGAAAACACCGGCAGACTTCATCTTCTTTAGAGAGACTGAAAAGCTTTAGTATTCTGGTAGCTCTTTTGGGCCCCAGCTACAGGCACAGTAGCATCTGTCAGTCCAGGAATACCCCCCACCTCTCTGTCCTTTCTTATTTCTTTCCTTTTACAAATCACTCTGGTCAGCATCCACAATGCATCTGAAACAGACAGACGGATGCTTCTCTCTTCTCTCCCCAGTTCTCCTTGGTCTATAGCAAGAGCGCCCCTTACTCAACAGCAGGCGCACTCTGCTGTGGGTCAGGACACCTTCTTCATGGAAGCACCTTGTTTGTCGTTCCCTCACTGATTCGGACCACACAATCCTTCCATTCCTTACCCAGAGCACCAGCAGCTACTTACAAAGCTTGGCCAGGCGGTGATGGCGCACGCCTTTAATCCCAGCACTTGGGAGGCAGAGGTAGGCGGGTCTCTGTGAGTTCCAGGCCAGCCTGGTCTACAGAGAGAGTTCCAGGACAGCTAGGACTGTTACACAGAGAAACCCTGTCTCAAAAAAAACCAACAAAAACAAGACAAACAAACAAAATCATGCAGAGCTTGAGTTCATCATTCACTCAAATGAGACTCTTGGCTGGAAAGGAGATATCAGCTTCATCTTGTACAGTCAGCTATCTAGAATGTGCCACGAAAAGGGAGCCATGCATTTTTGTTTACTTTTCCTCAGAGTGGGTGTGAGATGTATCACTAGGCATGATGGGATGGGGTGGGAGGACCGCCCAGTAGAAGCCCTAGGCGCAGTGTTTCAGGCTGGGGTACTGTTGATCTCAGCCATCAGGGATAAGCCGCTTCTCAGCTACTACATCTTCAAGTCATCTGCATTAGAGAAGTCCCATTTCTTTGAGAGATGGATCTTCTGGTAGTTGGAGGAGCTTGAATTTGATACAGTGCAGGGCCTCAATCACTTGCCATTCGGCGCTTAGGGGGAATGTACATGATGACCTGGCCAGTGGGTCCTGGGATTTCCCAAAGCCACCTCACCTACCTGTCAGGAGCCTAGATTGGGGGCAACATTGAGATCACTGACATGAATATACACCAGAACGTTGTCTCCAAGGTCCCTTAGGGCAGTCCATATAGGAAACAGGCTGCTGTGCTACCAAGGAGGGGTTGTTCACAGCCTCTGCAAAGCAGGCCCCTGAGAGTAAAGGGGCCTGGTTGGCTTAACTGCTTGCCAACATCTATTTTTTTAAACAAATGATATTGCATCCAAAAAATCACTAGGAACTGAAATTGCATTGAATATATTTGAAGAAATGATGTAAACATTTTATATTTAAATGTTAATAACAAACTGCATGCTGAATTCTTTATAACTATTTAAGATTACAATACTTTTGGGGGGTGGTTGAGACAGGGTTTATTTGTGTAACCCTGACTGCCCTGGAACTTACCCTGTAAATCAGGCTAACCTCAAACTCAGAGAGCAATATATTTTTAAAGGTGTGTCCTTATGGAGACACTTTACATTTCCTTTCAAGGCACATAGGAAAAAGATGTGTAGAGGCCTCTGATTTTATCCAAGCCCTTCTTTATACAGATGAAGCCCTTGAAATCCAGAGGGGTGAAAGGTCATGCAGCAAAGTAATACCCAACCCAGGCCCACCTCCAAGGTCTTAGAACCCCTTATTGGGTCTTGTATTAGTTACTTTCCTTCTTGCTGTAACGAAACACCTACCAAACACAATTTAAGGAAGGACGGATTGCTTCTGGCTCATGGTTCCAGAGGTTGGTCAATTAGTGGTTGGGGGCGTGGCATTACAGTGACAGCAACTTGAAGCCCTGGCCAGACCCTGTCTACAGTCAGGAAGTAGAGACTGTTTCGAGATACTTGGTTACACTCTATAAAGATATGTCACTGTATTGGTTTAATAAAGACCTGACTGTCCAATAGTGAGGTAGGATTTCCAGGCACAGAGGATGCTGGGAAGGAGAAGTCAGGGTCACCAGTGGACAGGAGTGAGCAGACTTGCAGGAGGAGAGGTAAAGCCACAGGCAACATGTAGATGAATAGAAATGGTTGGAAACAAGCCCAAGCTATTGGTCGAGTTTTCATAATAAATAATACGTCTCCATGTTGTGATTTGGGACCTGGCTGGCGGGACAGAGGAAGTCCGGCTATAGATCATTGCCCGAGTTCAGCCTGCTTTCTCCTTTACTTCTGGCTCAGGACCCCACACCATGGGATGCTGCTGCCCACAGTTAAGGTGGGTCATTCCACTTCAGTTAATTGCATCTAGAAAGTCCCTCACAGGCTGGCCCAGAGGCTTGTCTCCTAGGTGATTCTAGATCCTGTCAAATTGACTATATGAGCACTTTACTCCTAACCAAAGCTAGTTCCCCACTTCAGAGTTCCATGAGGTCCCAGCACTCAGAAGACTTCAAAGACGTCAACAATTTATCTAGGGCAGTGGTTCTCAACCTTTTGCATGCTGTGACCTGTTAACACAGTTCCTTGTGTTGTGGTGCCTCAACTATAAAATTACCTTCATTGCTACTTCATGACTGTAATTTTGCTACTGTTATGAGTCATAAAGTAAATATCTGATATGCAGACAGTCTTCCGTGAAAGGGTTGTTCAGCCCTCAAAGGGCTCTTGACCCACAGGTTGAGAACAGTTGATACGGAAGGTGCTTGCACAGAAATGTCAGGGGTGAGCGAGAACCCCTGCTTTGGCATTACACACACCAAGGACCGTCAAGACGGGAAAGTGGGTACCATTCTTGAGCCCGAGGACCACAGGAAAGGTGTCCTGTCCAGGACACTGGATCCTGTAGCCTCAGCGGGAAGCCACGCCCAGGAGCTGGGTGTTAAATAAAATAACATGGTCACGCCAAACCAGAGCCAAATGTGCCAAATCTCCTGTCTTCTTGCTCGTGCTTTCTGTTGGCCAAACTAACCAAAAGCCGCAGGGCCACGCAGCCAGTGCAGGGACTTTTAGCTCTCAGGGCCACGCAGCCAGTGCAGGGACTTTTAGCTCTCAGGGCCACACAGCCAGTGCAGGGACTTTTAGCTCTCAGTCCCCTCGCAGCCAGTGCAGGGACTTTTAGCTCTCAATCTCCATGCAGCCAGTGCAGGGACTTTTAGCTCTCAATCTCCATGCAGCCAGTGCAGGGACTTTTAGCTCTCAGGGCCACGCAGCCAGTGCAGGGACTTTTAGCTCTCAGGGCCACACAGCCAGTGCAGGGACTTTTAGCTCTCAGTCCCCTCGCAGCCAGTGCAGGGACTTTTAGCTCTCAGTCCCCTCGCAGCCAGTGCAGGGACTTTTAGCTCTCAGTCCCCTCGCAGCCAGTGCAGGGACTTTTAGCTCTCAATCTCCATGCAGCCAGTGCAGGGACTTTTAGCTCTCAATCTCCATGCAGCCAGTGCAGGGACTTTTAGCTCTCAGTCCCCTCGCAGCCAGTGCAGGGACTTTTAGCTCTCAGTCCCCTCGACAGACAGAACAAGCCAGAGGGGAAAGAGTCCACCTCACTCTCCATTTTGAACTGAACATTTGTATTTAAACAAAAACAATAAAAACTCACAGCAGAACCAAGAGATCCGGCCCCAGAGAAACTGAAATCACATGTGGCTGAGGCAGGAGGATTCTCTGAGTCCTTTAGAAGGTTTTTAGTCTTCCTGTAACTCTCATGCACATGTATCTACATATTTGTTTTTATTCCTGTAACTCTCATGCACATGTATCTACACATTTGAACATTATCAGTTCTTTGATATCTTCTTCCACTGGAAACTGATGCTTGCTTCCCTAAAAAGATTGCCTGATTAAATCTCCCCTCATGGAAGTTTTAATAATCTGCTAACCCTTTAACCTAACCCCAGAACTGAAGGGAAGTCCCTGGGAAAAGCAATACGAAATGGGTGCTTTTAAACAGAAATTTATTATTATAGATAATTATATGAATGATTAATAGTTGTCTATTAAAGGGAGATTAGTCCTGCTATTATTAGAACAAAGGAATGTATACAACTGCCATAAACCAAACTTAAAATCCCTTTCTAGGCAACCTGTGATTCCCTTTATGATGACAGCAACACCCTCTAGGGGCCAGGAGTTCCAGGGACCTAGTGATAGGGATGGGCTGGGCCTGGGGGCCTGGGGCCTGGGGGCCAGGGGTGGGGGGGGGGGGGTGGGGGCCTGAGGGCCTGGGGGCCTGGGACCTGGGGGCCAGGGGCCTGGGGGCCAGGGGGCGGAGGGGGAGGGGGGCCTGGGGCCTGGGGGCCAGGGTGGGGGGGTGGGGGGCTGGGGGCCTGGGGGCCTGGGGGCCGGGGTGGGGGGGTGAGGGGGCTGGGGGCCTAGGGGGCGGGGGGCTGGGGACCTGGGGGCCAGGGGGCCGGGGTAGGGGGGTGGGAGGGCTGGGGGCCTAGGGGGCAGGGGGGCTGGGGGCCTGGGGGCAGGGGGGCTGGGGGCCTGGGGGCAGGGGGGGAAGGGGGGCTGGGGAGCCTGGGGGCCTGGGGGCCGGGTGGAGGGGGGGCCAAGGGGGGGTGGGAGGCCAGGGGGCTGGGGACTGGGGGCTGGGGCTGGGCTGGGCTGGGCTGGGCTGGATGCAGAGCAGTACTCTTATCTCCAGAAGAAACCGGGTGGGTGGTATGGCCCAGGCCTTCAGCTGGGAAGCAGAACACCCAAGCTCAGGTTCAAGCAGACTCACTGAGGACTCATTGTTTAGCCTTGCCTAATGTCTTCCTCTCTGAACCCAGTGTCTTTCCTCTGTGTCATTCCTAGTATCTCTTACACCTGAGACTGTCCTCTACCCCCAAGCTAGAGTAAGGAAAGTGAACAATATAATGTCCTGAGTACTACACAGACGAGTAGAAAAAACAACAACTGTGATAAAAATCAGGATCTGGGGTTAAAACTATAGGCAAATTTGAAATTATGGACTAGCCTGATGTACTGGCGCATGCCTGTAGTCTTAGCTCTAGGGAGGGCGTGGACATGAAGGTTCAAAGCCATTCTGGGTTACCTTGCCACAGATGCCAATGGACAAATCAAACCATTGAATGCTGGGTAAGAGCAGACAAAGGACACTGCCTTGGTGGTGCCTTAGCCTGGGCTTCTGAGCCCGCCCTCCCAGCTCTGCTGGGGCCCAGGTCCCGCCAGAGTGTAGCAGGCTGTGCGGAGAGGCAGCAGAGCAGCTGAAGTCACAGGACTTTCTTGGGTGGCAGTAAAAGGTGCACAGTGCAGTAGCACACACAAAAGGCTCTGCACGGGGGTGAACAGCTCCATTAGTCTAAGATTCTGGTCATGGCTAGGGTAAGCGTAATTCTGGCTGGGGTTGCACATACAGGCAGCAGAGAGCAGATGACGGCACAAGCCAAACACACAGTCTGGCTGGCTTCCCAGGCTACACACACGTGTGGGCAAAGCCAGAGGGCTTAGCAGAGAGGAAGTGCTGGAATAGATTTTAAAGTGCCCTGAGTTTTGAGTCTGTTCTCTTACCCATTAATAGATGTCAGCAGCGGATGACAGCCAGACTTGCTTGAAGTGTCTCAATATAACTCTGACAATCCCTGACTATTAAAATACAGACCCGGGACTGGCCCTTAGGAAGATAGTCTTAAAAGAAAAGCAAGAATAAAATGTAAGGAAAATGGGATGTGGGGAGATAGTTGAGTCAGCAAAAGACCTGTTGTATAATCACAAGGACCTGAGTCACGATTCTTAGTACTCATGTAATAATGTAAACCAGACACATGGTAGCTTGTGCCTGTAGTCGCAGCACTGGGGAGATGGACACAGGCAAACTCCTGTAACTTACTTTTCAGCCAGTCTAACTGAATTGAGGAGCCCCAGAATCAATGAGAAACCCTGTCTTAAAAGTAAAGGTGGAGCAAGAGCCAGCGCCCCAGCTGGGTGGCCTGACCAACTTGGCAGCTATCAAGCAGGCCCAGATCCAGTGCCTTCAGTTGGTCAACCCAATAGCTACTCCATCAACAAACTGCTAGACCTTGAGGAGGAGCTGGTGTTGCCAAGCCAGGTCCGGGAGCATATCATCGCTACTGAAGATGAAAACCCAAAGCATGGTTGTGATTAAAGAAGTCATGGCAGTGATCTGGCTTTTACTCTGCTTCAGGGACCAGAGGCCTTGAGCTAGACCAATGACTTGTGGCAGCCACTATTTGCATGTGGAGCTGTGTGGCCAAAAAATGTACCGAGTAACACGATGCAATTCTCAA